TAGTACCGCTCTTCTGTATCCTGCTTACAAGTATGATAACCAAACGCACGGTACAATACCTTGAATTGCGTCGTAATGTACCGTTCTTTTGGGAACGTGGAATTTCCGAGATTTCAAGAAACCGCGGGAATTTTTGGTTACATACAAAGCGCCTCTGATTAATTATATATACGGGGGAGGGTGGGGGATACAACTTTCAAAAGCAGTTGAAAATTGGGGGTACAGTATTCGCTGGGGACGTACAATTTCTACTTTTGCGTTTTCACCTTATGGAGACCCGAGTAACTGAAACACTATCACTCACTCACTCACTCACTCACTCACTCATGCCCATGAATACCGTCAGGTATGTAGGGCAGCAACAAAGGATCACCACTCCTGTCTGTTCTGGGCCAGCTTCTGAATGATTCCCCAGGTGTGCTGTAGGGTCTTGAGCTCCCCTTGCACAGTCCCACGCCTGGTGTTCTTGGGTCGTCCCCGCTTGCGTTTTCCTTCTGGTGTCCAATGTAGGGCTGTGCGGGTGATGCTGTTTTTACCCCATGGAGACCCTTAAATGAAACACTATAACAAACCTGAACTGTTCAGGAGAAAACATTTTTAAACGGTGTTTTAAGATAGTGGAACCGTTGTGCGGCTAATCTTAGAAACCTGTTCCGCTGATTTGCAGGCAACGAATAGCTTCTTGGATAAGGTCGGTCAATCTGTTAGGAAACTTTTAAACCAAAGCCGTCTCTGTCAGATTGGTTTTGTCTAAAACTTTTCACGCAAAACAGAGCATTATCATAATTTTGATCCCGGGGCGTTTTTGTGGCTCATGACTCGTATGTTGCCATGGTCATAGCTCATTAAGGACTGTATGATAACTTCATATTTGCTGTTTTGTTAAAAGCTGTGATAACTTGAGGTTTTTTAAGGTCGCGGTCTAAAATTTATCTGAAAATAATCTGGTATTAGAAAATCATTTCTGAATTCAAGCGGCTCACCATCGCCTCTCCTACAAGATCGCTCCGACTATTGGCTATACACCTCTAAGCCAATATTTGAATTCATTACCCGTGCCCACTGAAGTATTGATTGAAAAGCATTGTTATCATTCGGGCGACCTGCCTGATATAATTTAACGTGTCCGTACGATGGCTACATTTGTGAACACATTGCTTTAAGCACTTTGTAAAACGCCGACTGCGAGTAAGAGCAAAGTTGAAAAGTTTGGCGAAGAATTTCTTCTGAGTATGAAGAGAAGTTTCATAGAATAAGACCAAGATGATTTTGATTGTGCCTGCTCTGTTCCTCGCTAGCATGGCAACAAACTTTTAATTTTCATATACACCTTTTGTCCACAATGATTTAACCACCTAGTGGTTTGTTGCAGATGATGGTACACTTGTTCTCTGGCGCTAAATGCAGCGTTATTCGTTAACGAAACAATACTTACACGGTTACATTACATAACTCTTGGCACAAACGATTACCTGACGTACTTTCGTTAGAAATGTTTCGTCTAGCATGTATTGTTGCTCCCTGGCTCCTAATTCAGCTGCACTGGGGTTGGGTTGCTCATCAGGAACCTCCCTTATGTTCCTTATGGTAACTATTTCTGTGAAAGTCAGTGTCTTTCTTTCACCTTACTTACTGCGTGGGGGGCACAAACAAGCCCCCCACCATACAAACGTTTAAACATTTTCGAAACTTTGCTTCCCCGGAAGTTATATCTTCGTTCGCTTTAGACGTGTAACTTTTAAATTTGACAATTTTACTAATTTTAAGGCGCTCTTTCAAGTGATGTCGACGGGTTTTCCCTGACTGGCCATGCGAAAAGTTGAAAAAAACCACAGAAGGTTCCTATTTATTTGATATACATGCAGACTACATGCGTGCATGATCAAGAATACAAGAAAAAATGACTCGATAAAACAGCGATTTAGAGTTTTATTTTCGGTACGTACTTAGAGAGAGCTACAAGTTTATTTTCAGCTTACTAGTTTGGTTTTGTCTATAGTCGAGTCTAGTCTACCGAGTCCGAGTCTAGTCCAGTTTAGTTTGGTCTAGTTTAGACTAATCAATTCGCCAATATTACTAAAAATAAACATGTACAAGTACGGTAAAAAACCAAAAAGAAAAAACACAGTAAATCAATATAACATGACTGGAAGGATTATCAGGTTACAGGATATAATACGGTTGCTCTGATTCGGAATACATTATGATCACAGATCATGCACAACTAATTTGAGGTGTTCCAATCCAAGTTCATGCTGTCATCTATCGTTTCATTTTCCAGCTTCTCGATTGCGTTAAAATACTAAATACTTTGTCAGCATTATTTTATTCCTTCGTTAACAGTGACTGAAGTTGCTCCGAACCCGGAAAGAAAAGAAAAAAAAAAGGAACATGATGATAATTCCCATCGCAAACAGAACGCTTTAGAACATTTGCATTGCTCTTGTGAAGCTTTTGAACTACTCTGTGGCTGGTGAGAACAGAACTTTCGTCCCAACTGACATCAGTACTCTCTCGAATTAGATTAGGCTACCAGAGTAATTATTAGCAAGTTAGTTAAACATAAAAGTCATTATTATTATTTAACTCTTTCGATAAAAAATAAAAATGACTAAGTCTCATTATGGCTCCAAGAACAGCAAACACACAGACACAGATGGTGACTGGCAAGGAGTACCAGGTGTGAGGGAAATGAGGGAAATAAAACAACAGGATCATGGTGATGTTTTCTATCACAAACAGTACGTTGGAGATCAACTGCATAATTCTCAGTTCTTTCTTTCGATTTTCTCTCGGTACCTCATGTATTCTTACTGCTATGTCATCTCGCAGCCAGTGGAGGCAGAAATAGGAAGCTATTAAACGAGCAGCTTCCAGTGCTTTCGCATTACACTGTGTTCGGGGATAAAACCAGATGATGTCACAGACCACTATCGCCATAGAATGGAGGATCAAGACTTTGGTAATCCACCACTTGTAACGTACGGCGAACAACGCGATGGCAAACAGTCGACTGCTCAAAAGGAATACATGCGTTGTAAAGCGAAGTAGTCTGTGTATTAAATTTCGCTTCGCATTAGTGCCACCTGCATTGTAGTGAATGAACTCATCGCCAACAGTCGACGCCCAAGCCAAGCTGAGGAAAGACACGGGCAGGGAAACCATTTGAACGATCGTCACGGATTCCTGTTGAACAACCATGGCGTACAGCTGAATAATAAACTGAGGAGCTGCTTCAAGAGTGCCCTCAAACAGAACCGCGACATTGCTCTGATGCAATAGATCAACATGAGCTTCTTCGTCACTATTTCCTGAATCGATTCCTGAAACATTATTGCCACGCCAGAAATTCGTAAATTTCTTCAGGTAGGAAAACAGTGTTTGCAGTTTTAGAAAGGCTGGAAAGAATGGATTTGCAGCGCAAAGGATAACTTGCGTGCACCTCCTAGCAATGCTGACCTTTTTCAATTCAGATTTGTTTAAAACATAATAAGTCCGTAAAAACACAAAACAGGGCAAAAAGACGAAAGGGAGCCCTACACCGAACCATGTCTTGTGATCCTCGCGGTAGAATTCCACAAGTGTGAGAATATCAGTGATGGGGTCGGCAAAGCCTAAAATGATTCCGAAAACGATCAAAAATATGTCGTGCCGTTTGATTTCGTTTTCCACCATTGCTGTGACCTTTCTTAATGACTCTTAAATTCTAGAGAGAACTTTTTGTCTGATTCGCTTTACGCATTGATAGGTTAATTTATAAACTGACTGTGACCCGTAGAATGCATGCATTTTGAGTTATTATGGAGCTCAGGCAAACGTCTGGAAGTTGTGATTCGTGTGCAGTAGTTTTGCCCAAATTTTTGGGCAAGTCGTTTCTATAAGAGTAAAAACACTTAGCAATACAAATGTGATACTGTCAAGGCATATTAGAAGGGAAGAGACCTTACTTCCAATTGACGTGCGTCAAAAAGCCATATTTAATAATTGTTTTATTATTCATGCAAAATGTTTGTTCTTAATAAGAAGCTTACCTCTTCGTAGAACTTTTTTTTAAAACTTTGGCCTATTTCTCGGCCCGGTTTCAGGATATAAAAAGATGTATTTTCTTGTATAGATACTCCTCAAACAGTAGATAACATCCATCGAGCAAAATGTTTTGCGTATTCTTGCATATCTTCCGTTCAGTTTTAATCAGAAATTCAGCTATTTTAATTAACTGACTGAGAGACGTCGGAATACAGATTGTTACAGGGGCACCCAATGGATCTGTTCCTCAAAATATCTGTTCTTCATGCAAATGTTTGCTGGCTGGGAGATGTGGAAGAAATAATAGTCCTTGGAAGGAAAGTGTTGCTGGGAAAAAGATAATTCAGGGTGTCAGAGGGGATTTGAAGTCTAGAATAGCTGCTACGGGTTACTTGTATGGGTTGCTTACCACTCAAGATCTGAATTGTGCCCTATGAAACTTCCCAGTAAGTCAGGTTGCAGGTTGTAAGGTTGCTGGCTGGCAACTCTTCCATCAGTCTTGCTGGGAGTGAGGAACAGATAATTTTTTTCCGGCAATCTCCCAAAATGCTTAAAATAGTCTCAGAAAACTTTATTCACGCTTTGTTGTTGTTTTTAGGTCTTTTTCTCAAAATTTCCCTTTGGGTGCCCCTGTTGTTAGTCGGGAGTACAGCCAGTGTCTTCTGGGACACATTTTCATTGAACTCATAAAGAACTAAAGAGTTATGTGTGATCAAAATCAAAGCATCGCGACGGTAGCAAAAACATTACTTTTAAAAGTTTAGTCTAGTTTATCTTTCCAGGAGATTCGTAATAATTAAAAGACGGAATCCACCATGGCCAATTCGTCTTAGTACGGTACCCTGGAATAAGCAGGGGCACCCAACGAGGGTTTCCTCCTAAATGTATTGAAAACACTTTTTGGGCTATCAAGAGTACTTTTAGATCGCTAGAAATGTATTCTAAGTGGCGCTAAAAAACTTATATCTGTTCGGTGATCCTTGGGCAACTTAAATCTTTTTGAAATTACAAGGGCTTCAGTATTATTTTCCACAAAATTTTAGCTGCAATAGGATTTAATGGAGCCGAAACCAATTGTGGAATTGCACGCATTTTAGGCATCCTACTGATGAACAGTTGCGACACTTAGATATATATTTTTTAGCAACTATATAAGATAATTTGCAGTCTGTCTACTTTGAATCTAAAGTTTTAGGAAAGTGAGAATTTTTTTGATTCCTCTCTGCATCGCATTTTCGACTCCGAAAATTTTAGGTGGGAAACAATTAAACCTCAGAAAATTGTAGTGAATTTGTTAGATATATAAGCTTCGAAAATTGTACTTAAATAGAACGGTTTTTAGCCTTCGTCAAGCTATAGAAAATTCTAAACAAGTTTTGCTTCTCCGGGCAGATATTTCACAGAAAACAGTGGTTGGGTGCCCCTAAATAAGCACCGCACCCCCCAAGTAAAAAGAGACATAGCGCACAAGAAGCACGAGGATTTTTTTTTTTTTTTTTTTTTTGCCAAAGAGGAGGAAAAAAGCAAAAAAAAATAATAATAACACCTGATCTCAGGTTAGCTCTCGCTCTTCTCGAGCACTTCTTCCGCTTTCTACAAGGAAACGGAAACGATTGCTACGCAGGATTATAAAGTATCAAGTATTGAGAAAGGTATCCATGATCGATCATTCCCGCAAGTATCACCTTTTAATCCCATGACAGAGGAATATCGATGTTTTGACACTTCATCTCGTCTGTAAAAAAACATAAATCGCTTGTACATTTGAGATGATTCATCAATGGTTAGATGTACAGTATCTTCTTTTTCGAATCATGCATTTGTTCTTATTTCCGTGTCTTGCTTGGGTCCGGGGTTATCACATGTTCTCTTAAACATGGGTGTGGGATATCTTAATTACATAAGAAAAAAAAATGAGTAAGCCTCATTGTTCCTCCAAGACCAGTCACTAAACAGACATATATCGTGACTGGTAAAGAGTACCAGGTATGAGGAAAAGGACTGAAATAGTCAGTAAATCAACATAACATAATTAAATCTGTGTCCCAGCTGACACTACTTTCCCTAGTTGAGATTCTTTACTTAGCCTTACTTTTATAGTAAGGCTACATACATATACATAATGACACAGATCAGAGACAGACTTTAGACGCACCAATACAAGATCAGGTTATAATCTACCCTCGTTTTATAATGCTGCAATCTCGACGGGGTTTACTATACGAGTCCAACTGCACTCGATCAGTAGTATCTTTATTCGCCCTCACGATCTTTGCATAAAGCGAAACTAAAACATAAAGCGAAAATAAATCACATTTTAGTATCGGAATGTAATGAAACGCTAAAATAAAGAAAACCCACAACCCTGTATTGTAGCTCCCGGCGACCAAAGCAGCTGTAAAGAGTCGACTGCTCAAAAGTAATAAATGCGTTGCAAAGTGTACGAGTTTATTTTTCATATTCAGCCGATCGTTTCTCCTATCATCATATAGTCTGCTACATTTAGTGCCGTCACGCAATGCTCCTCCCCACCTCCTCCTCCAGGGGAGGAGCGTTGCGTGACGACACTAAAAACGGCTGTGTAGCAGACTAATCATCATAGTTAAAGACCTGATCAGCAACTATGGAAGCATGAGCCAAGCTGAGAAAAGACACAGGCAGGGAAACATTTTTAGTTTCACCAAGGCTGGACAGAATGGATGAACACCAAAACGGAACGCTCGTGTGAGAATCTGTTTGATATTGCGGGACGAATCTTTGTATAAACTGAGTGTGCAGTGAACTAGGAAATAAATAGCCTGCTCCAGGCTCCGAGATAGTGGTGAAAAGTCGTTCAGTAAAAAGAAATGCGAAAAACGCGCGGGGGCTGGGGAGAGACATTTTTCTCGCCGCCACCGCCCCTTTCCCAAGTCGCGTGTGTCTCATTTTTAATACGTCCGCACTATACTATCTGAGAGCCTGGCACAGGCTAGCAAATAAAGGGACCATAGCAAAATAATAAATACAAGCCCCACAGTGAACCATTTCTTGTGATCTGCGCGGTAGAATTTCACCAGTGTAAGAATATCAGTGGTGGGGTCTCCAAAGCCTAAAATGGTTCCAAAAAGAGCCAGGCAGATGTCGCACCATTTGAGTCCTTTTTCTCCCACTGCTTCGACCTTTTTGAATGACTCACGCTTCCTGTCTGAGATATAGTAGCTGTGTATTGATTGGATATTGTGTGAACAGTCTGACCCTTACTGAGTTACATTCATTATGGTCATGTGCGGTTTTAAGTGGAAAACTACTCAGAGTGAAAGACAGCCGAGAGTTCGCATTGAAGTGGATTTAAAAGGGAGTCGAATATCTGTCACAGACAACAAACTCAGCTCATGAGGAATGTTAGTTTGAAGGTCACATGAAAAGGGAACTAGCATCTGTAACAAAGATCTAGACTGGCAAGATATTCAGATCTCTCTTAACACGCACCTCCATATAGACGTACAACTTGCTTAAACGGACATTTAGAGTTGGCCCTGTCGGCTTTGTTCGCTTTATAAGATGAACATTTCTTTAAGAACGCTTTCCAAAAGTCAGAACCGGGCCGGCCAGACCATAGCAAGATCAGTCATTGACAATGAAAAAACCTCTATTCCAAGTTCGAGTTTTTGTTGAAACGCCATTTCTCTCATGCATGCTATTTGGGATCTGGCTGATTTTGATTAAAAGTGAAGTTCTCCTTATGACTGCAGTGGCGGATCCAGACCTTCAGATAAGGGGGCCCCGGTCATCAAGACCCCGACATAAGGGGTGGGGGGGGGGGGCGGTCTCAAAAAAAAAATTCTCGGCTCTTCTGGCCTCAGTTTGGTCTAAAAATAAGGGGGGCGCGCCCCCCGGGCCCCTCCCCTGGATCCGCTACTGGATTGGAATGCTCCGGCCGGTCAGCTGTGACAAATGGAAACTACCCCAGGACTGACACAACTGCCCTAGAGACAGTTGGCCGTATGTATTACTCTTTTCTTCCCAAGGGAAAAGAAAACCCGCAGGGATACTGATATATAAAATTTCTTATATCCTAGTTATTATCCCTTCTGTGGCAACCTATGCAACCCATCTTGTCACATGTTTATTTTACAAAAACAGTCAATGCCATTTAGACACCGCCCCCCCCCCCCCCCCCCAACTTAGTATACAACGCATCTAAGTTTTCTTTTCTAAGTTTACAGGCCCAAATGGTCTCCAAAGTTTCTTGAAGCATCATTGCAAGAATTACCAAATCCCTTAAGGTTCTATATAGGGGATGGGGTCGGCAAAGGTTGAGGGACAGGGCATTATTTTTTTGCCCAGGGTGGGTCGGGGGATAATAAGAGATTTTTAGGAAAAAGTAGCAGTTATGTGTGAGGGAAATTACCATCAAGGTTACAAAACTATAGCAAATGTATATTATATGTAAATTTTCATTATGTCTTTAAAGAATTGGACTAACACTATAGCTGATATGTAATTCACGCAGGCAACCATATCAAAAGAAGAAATCTCAAATTTGTTAAATTTTAACCGATCCGGCTTGTACAACTTCATCGAAATAGTATATATGTTTAAACTGGTTCTGACACTCTTCTCCAACTCAAGCTCTT